AAACTGAAAAGGCGGTACTTTTCGGTAAAATTTTTGACTAATGCAAAGATTATTTTCTGTACTCGTATTTTTGTGTTTTCTTCGTAACATCGCCAACCATATTACAACTAATGAATCTAATTACTCATCAGGTGTATCTAACAAATTAATATAATTAATCGTGGCATATAACTACGAAAGCAAGTAGCACAAATATTAAGGAAACAAAAAACAAATATAGACGCATGAGTTATTTAGCCCGGTTGGATAAAAATAAGATTTTCAGTATACTTGATAAAAGTTGATTGAATGTAAGATTAAAAAGATGTGGATCTTTGAGATTAAAATTAATTGTTAATTTTGACTTAGAATTTAATTTAATTTTTTTTTTTTTATACTCAGGTGTTCACTTTCAGCGACTAATCCTGGGGTCTACGCCTTGGCCCCTCAAGACGCAGACCAGGTAAATCGCGAGATGTGCCCCAAACTGGTCAGGGTCCAAGAGCCCCTTCAACTGATCTGTCAAAGTACCGAACGAGTCAACACATGTTGCATCTTGAACCATACATGGATTTAGTATTAGATACCTCGATACAATCTTTGTCAAAGTTTTGATATCACTAAGATAATTATTATCTCGACTACACATCAAACAAGAAGGTTCTTTATGACAGTACCATTATAAAACGATGCAAATTTTGTTCACCAAACTATGGTTTTCTACTAAGTAAACCTTTGTCATATTGTTTCTATGAAAATAAGAGACAAAAGTGAAAATGTTGCTTCAATGATGCTCCTTGGTCGAAAATTTCAATGAAGAAATTCTAACAAATTGTAGCTTGCAGAAGTATTGATGGAAAGTATATAAAGAAAAAAAATGGACTCTATAAATTCCATTATGTATAATCCAAAACCCACGAGATTAATAACAGTATATAAAATTTACTATCCTATAATCCAAATGCCTAGCTTGACAAAACCGTAAGATCGAATCTTGCAATAATTAAGTAATCCAAATGATCACCTTAATTAAGGAGAAACCAGAACAAAAGTGAAAACATCAAACTTGAAATCCAGAGAGTGGATTGCGTGAGAATTGTTGCCGCTGAACAGTGTCTACATGGCACAGCCTGAGGATTAAGGTAAAACCAGGGATAGTAAGGTAGGATAGGATTCGGCGGTGGAGGGATGGGATTGTTGCCGGTGGATCCCGGTGGAGGGATAGGATTGTTCTCGGGGACCGGTGGAGGGTGAACATTTGCTGGAGGAGGAAAAGTATAAGGTGGATAGGATGATAAAGGCGAAGGTGGCTCTAAACAGGGTGGTGGTGGTGGTGACTGTCCCAGCAGAGTCGGCGGCGGCGGTGGAGCATTTGGTCGTGCCGGATAGCAGGTAGGACACAAATGAGAGGATTTCACCATTCCCAGAAACAATACTGAAAACAGAATCATAGAGGCCAGTTTTTGGCCATAATCACTAGCCATTGTAAGAAAGATGATGACCGATGAACTATGAAAAACAGAGATAAACAGATATATATAGAGCGATAAATTTAGGGTTTTAGAGCACTGTATATATACGAACTTGGGTTATATACGTACGTAATGTACGTTTCCATATATATACACGAGATTATACACTGTTCTATGGTACAAGATCTTTGGTTGGTCTGAAATCTTAAATTTTCCAGTTTGTGTATCAGCTTCCATAAGAGAATTTATATTCTGCAGAATCCGATCTGTGGATGAAATCAATATATGTGGATTTTCTCAGTTAATTAATTAATACTTCCCGTTTTAGTCCTTTTTCCCTTTTTAATATTTAGTTTGCATGGATTCTGCATGTTCTTGCATGGACAGTTTGAAGATTATCAGTAATAACCGTAAAAAAGAATTAAATAAATCCTTAAATTAATGCCATCCTCTGTCTAAACCTAGACTTTTTTTTTACTTGTCTACCATTTCAATCTATAGCAAAGAAATGAAAATGATGAACTAAAAGAGAATATAATAGTATTATGCCAAATTTAATCTTTCATAATTATTGTTTCGAATAATGATATTAATGATTGTATCAAAATAAGAAGGATTGCGCTATGTGTACACAATTTTTTACACAATTTTTTACACTCTCCTCACATGGACAGGGCCACACACAACAAAATATTTGTGAGCCCCCCTCCATATGAGGGGGTATAAAAGATTGTATACACCACAATGTGTACACATAGCATTATCCAAATAAGAATGACAATAAAAGTATACGAGATCTCTATCAAGTAGCTAGTTTGAAAGTGACATGGAGTTAAATTCGACATACGACGGTATTAGGGTAAAGATGAGCATGATTATGCGAATAAGTGTACTCTCCATCTTCCAACGGGATACGTTTATTTTATTTTATTTCACGTATACATGAAAGTCTAGCCAAGCCACCTCTTAAGCCTATTTTATACTTTACATTTGTTTTTGATAATATGTCACTTACGTTAAGACCCTGTTTGAGGCCCATTTTTTTGTTGATAATGTATTTTTGAATAGTAGATTGATTAAGAATGCGTAGTTAAAAAATAAGCAAAATTTCAAATTTGCGAGTAATAATATTTTCTTGAAGAATGTGTGTGTGACTGAAAAGAATATAGAGAAAAATGTATTTTAAAAAATTGGAAATCAAAAAAGGGCTAACTTATAAATGATTTATAAAGAGGAATAATAATAGTAATAGTAGTTAGACCTATGAAATGTGTGGATAATAACGATTAATAATTATGAATGTGTGGTTAAAATTAATGTTTGGCTATAACTAATTGTTATCCAAACGAGGCATAGTCTAAAAAGTAAAATCTATGGACCAAAATGAAGTGAACTTACGATTAGAAACCTTACAATCACGGACAAACGAGAATGTTCTCCTGCCCGCGACGAGCAATCTTATCCTGCTCACCTGCTGTAGCCAAGCCACCTCTTAAGCCTATTTTATACTTTACATTTGTTTTTGATAATATGTCACTTACGTTAAGACCCTGTTTGAGGCCCATTTTTCTGTTGATAATGTATTTTTGAATAGTAGATTGATTAAGAATGCGTGATTAAAAAATAAGCAAAATTTCGAATTTGCGAGTAATAATATTTTCTTGAAAAATGTGTTTGTGACTGAAAAGAATAGAAAGAAAAATGTATTTAAAAAAAAAAGGGACCAAACAAGGGCTAACTTATAAATGATTTATAAAGAGGAATAATAGAAGTAAAATCTATGGACCAAAATGAAGTGAACTTACGATTTGAAACCTTACAATCACGTATAAGTTCTTAATGATACACGTAACCAGAGGAAAAAATAAAAGTAAAAACATGTTTGAATTACATAACACATATGTTTCAAAGTAGCTGAATCACCCAATAGATGTTTGAATATATATTCTTAAAAGTAACTTTTAATTGACATTTATTAAGTAACTTGTTTCAAGAGAAGGTAACTTTTAAGCAAATGGAACATGGTCACGTGTCTGCAAGTTCTCTTTGAATTAAACACACAAAATATTGTAATGGCCTTCATATACCAGCATCACATGGATAATGATTGACAATGATTTGTTACATTACAAATTTTCCACGGAAATGGAAGAATTTTTAATGTTTTAATTAGTGGGCGGTTTTGTGATAAGTATTATTGGCGGTTCAACTTAAAAGTTAGAAGGTAAACAAGCAGATAAAGATAGAGATTAGCTCGACCAACCAAGTAGGTGGGAGCGGGTTTGGTCGTGAAAAGACTTCGCATAATAAATCGATTTAGCTATCGATTGAAGATGATTTGAAATATACGAATTGGAGATGGAAAAGTATGGTACTGATAAATAGGCTATTTCACCATCCGCATTGAATGTGGTTGGTGCAAGTGATGTCACAACGAATGCAACACCTTTCTAGCCAAGAACAAAGGAATTTTCCAGATATGCTTTTGGATACATTCATGAAAATGACGACGAAGCTATGGACTTTTCGAATTGAGGACTCCGTGATAAATATTCAAGATCTCCGTTCATTAGCAAATTCGAAAGTGACCATGAGCTGAATAAATATTATAATCGGTATATGATGATGATGAGTATGAGACTATAGAGTGTCAAATGTAAATTTTCGGAGACTCAAGAACAAGCTTCTGTGTCACATCTCCTACCATGCTAAGCTACCAGAGCTAATATGAAATAATTAAGTTACTGGACTATCCTAGAATACGTGCCGTGCCGTGCCGTGCCGTTTCTTTTCATGCAGATGTGATTACCCAGAATATCTGTCCTAATTAGTATAGGTAGAACCTATCATTTCTTTTACCCAACACAACAAACTCTACCTATAGCATCAACCGACCAAATTGAACATTAATCAACATAACTTACTGAACATTATTTTACGCAAAGAATGGAATAGTACCATTAAAAATGATAAATTACCATTTGATGAAAATTACATCTCTATGTACTTTACTACCATCAACAGCAAACTAACAACACAGAATCATCTCAGAAATTCATATTTGTTGGAACCAATAGTCCCAAGTAACACCAAACACATAGTAAAAATAAAAGAACACCAGTAATTTTTCGCCCTTAGGCCCGGATATTCACCCTAGAAAAGGGCTAATCACCACGTTGAGCTTCCACCAAAGTGGTTATCGCTCTAATCCACTAGAAACCAATAAATAATATCAATACAAGTTTCACAGTACAGAAATTCAAACGGATTTAGCCCTCAGACCCAATTTCTTCTCTAAAAAACACTCGACTCCTATTACACTAAGTAACCAGAGGTTATTGCTCAACCAATAACAGAATCATCAAAATTATACAGCAATCTACACTAGACTTCACCAAAAATATCTAGAACCAAAATATTACGTACAAAAACCAAGAGTTTTCAGAGAGAGAACATAGAGAGCAAAAGAGAGAAAACCCTAAACCAATATCTCGAAGCATCTATCCAACTGAAGAGTCAGCCAAATAATTGAAAAAATCAGAAGCAACCAACAGTGGCTCCATCTCCGGTTGGCATCATAACAGCCGTTCAAAAATAACAAACAAAGTCGCATTTCAGCAAAATGCAAGAATGCACAAATGGAAATGGGCTGCCTGGTTACATTCTATCAAATGGGCTGGACAACATTAATTTGGGCTGCATCATAGGGCCCTCAATTGGGTTACATCATTGGACCCAAAATGTTAAGCACAATGTTTAACAATATTATCGAAATTTCTTAAATCGTCAGGCATCGGAAAATGAGTGAAAACACGTTGCATGCTTCCAGTCTTCAGGGCATAATCATATTAGATGAGAAAAGTCTGATTCAGGCATTTCGCCAAACATTTGGCGCACAACAATTTCGATGTAATCTAAAGCAGCCTTTGCTTTGTAAAAGCTTTCCCCCATGATTCTACTTCTCCAACTGGCTCTTCAACAAACCGAAATTTCAGAAACAGGTAGCTCATTCAATCCAGACACCCATCTTCAAGAGAAAATCAATTTCTACAAGGTTGGAGAAGTACCTTCGTAGCACTAAAAAGTTGTTGCATGATTTAGCTGTTGCTGGCGTGTTCGAAAATCAGCATTCGATAATAGAAGAATCTTCTTCCAATTCAGAAGCTTTTAATTCATTTCCTACTCCAATTGAAGCATTTTGAATTCCAAACACAAGCTAAGTTTAAGCAACTTTTAAGCTCAGCCAAACATGCTGCAAGTGTAAGGAAATATAGTGTCATGCAAAAGATCAATGTCAAGCTCTTGTTTTATCACTTCCACTGGCCACAGAACTTGGGTTTCGAAGAATTTACTTGCAACAATTCCACCACTTCGACCTTCAAGTATAAATATAGATGGCACACTATCGAGCAAAGTTTCACTAAACAATAATCAGGCAAGAATTTCCATCATCTAAACATACTACAATAATTTTTGGCAGTGCCTTGCAGAACCATGGGAACGAACTTGGCTTTCTAACATAACAAATTCTTATATCCAATAACAGAATTTTTGTTTATATTTCATTATCTTGTTAACTCATTCAAAAGAAGGGGAAAATCCATTTACAACAGGTAGATATGCTCACGTCCTAAGATGAACACTAACACAAGTTAGTATAAAAAGAAATTTATCCACATCATACTACAGTGTGGTAAAAGATTATCAACACATCTTCCTGTTCAACTTTACACATGAAGTGCCAACTTGAAATATCTTCTGCCTCTTCATGCATTATGAATTCTTCTATCAAAAAAGCATCTCTACCAGTCGTCCATATAAAGAGAGGCACTTTCATTGGGGATCAGATTATGATCAACTTCCAAGGAAACTATTCTCAGCCTTCAGGAAGCAGAAAACGGTATTAACTGGTTCAGAACGTCCTAATTTAGTTGCCTCCTAATTATTCAATCTCCTTTGATAAAATTCAAAGGTAAACCAATCAATTTCCCAATGTTGAACTTTCCCTTTCTATAACCTACATCCTCTACAAAAAATTAGAACAACCACAAACATCGTATCGCTATATAAATCCTTCTTTTGACCGAAATACATAATGGCTCCGACAGCATCCCCCAGATTTATACCACTAAATTTAGAGAATTCATCCAACATATTCATTACACCATTCAACAGTCCACTTCCATGGAGGAGATATGTTGCTCTGGTCCTCTAATTTCCCTCTCACATCCAAATTTTTCACCAATCAATATTCAGCACAAAACCACGTGCCTAACAATTTGTGGAAGATGCAGGTTCCAATTAACAACTCTAAGCATTACATACATTGTTCCTATGGTTATACAATCAATACAAATGCAATTTATTATTGATGCTCATCCCAGAGTAGATAACACAGAACATGCAACTGTATAATTGATTTCTGATCATATGACATTTCTGCATTGAACACATTAAGCATCATTCAGTAGAAAATAACACCAAAGATGTAGTGAATAACATTAAAGGTTCCAATTTAATGGAGTAAATATCAGTTTCAAAGACGACTAATAGATTTATTAAGTGTTGGAGAAGAATTTTTATTAACATACATAAATATTATAGACATGAAAATAAATCAAGCGAAGCATCTCATCTTGAGCTTCAGCATACGATCAAAGAGAATGAATTACATGCTACAAAAATTCAGAAGGTGAGGTAGCATCCGGCTTCCCATTATCCCCCAAGCCTCCTGGATGCTGCATATTCTGCAAAACTTGAGGTGGCAAAGCCCCCAATCCACCACCCAAACCATCATTCACCGACCCAAAAAATTGACACACAAGCCGAGCCATAACCCCCAGAATCTGCAATTGATTTTGGCAAGCATCAGCATGCATTTGCATCATCTGTTTCTCGTGTTCAATCTGCATTCCGACCATTCTCTCCCTCCATTCCACCTCTTCTTCCTCCCACTTCTCCTCGAGCTTCATTCGCCTCCTCTTCTCCTCATCGAATTCCCTTTCTAACCTCAGCCTTTTCTCAAGTTCCCTTTTCGCCCACATTAGCTGCCTTTCTTCCAATTCTATTTCCTTTTCGTCAATCTCCTCTTCCCTCTCTTTTAACCGCTTTTCCCTCTGCATTTCCCTATCCTTTTGAGCTCTCTCATTTTCCATCACCCTTTCTTCTTTACACCATTCTTGTTCTCTCCGTTTATCTTCCCTCCGTAAAATCACATCCTTCAATTCCAAAACTTTAGCACCCACCATACTTAATCTCTTTCCCTTAAACCTCTTCTTCAATTTCCTCCCCCCTTCAAAGCCTAAATCTTCATTTTGCTCTTTTGCCCCTTCCTCACCCCTTAATTCTCCATCTCTCTGCTCCCTCTCCTCCTCGTCACCCTCTTCTTCTTCTTCATAATCATCATCCTCCATCTCTTCACTACCCATCCCATACCCCAATCCCATCACACCCCCCTCACCAAGAATATCAGAAATACCCTCACCCCCAAATTTTTGCCTAGTATTGTTATTAGTATTAACACAATCAGATAACTCAATGTCACCAAACACTTCTTTATACTTCAAGAAATTTTCCCAATGAATTTCTCCATCACCCCAGTTAAACTCATTATTCGAAATCCTAATCTTCTGCTTCACACCCAAGTACTGATGCCTCATATTCTGCACTTTAATCGAAACGTCACGCCAGGACCACTTGAAGGGGTAGCTTATTGGGTTTTGTATATGATGCAAGGAGTTCACGTGGTCCGCTATGGGCTTGAACTTCTTCTCCCTGGTTTTCAGCTTGGCTAGTGTCCCTGAATTGAGGAGGTCGGAATATTTTGATAATAACGTCTGCTCTTCCAGTTCCGACCATTTCTTGCGCTTCATCTTTTTGGAGATTCAGTTGACGAAAAGTGGGGGAATTTCGGAGATGGGAGTGGAGGGGGTGTCGGATTTTTTTTTTTTTTTTTTTTTTTAAATTGTGG